TATATACATAACAATAATATAATCACCACGACCATATCTTGATACTCCAAAACATTCCAAAAATGAAGGATTCTTGTAACCAATTTCACAGTAATTCTTCAATTCTTGAATAAATTCTTGCTTATTTTCACTTGAATCACAAATCACTTTAAGTGCAACATCTTTCCATCTATTATTAATTTCGTCGAACCAAGTTGCACTATATACAGTTGCAAACCCTCCTTTTCCTTTTTCTTCAATATCATTGAACTCATCATACTCAATCCAATTTAAATCTCTCATCGTCTATTATTCTCTTAAGTTCAGGATCGATATGATCTGGCGATTTATTAGTTTTCATAAAACTTCTATATTTTGTGAACCAACAATTTGCTTTTTGTATATCTCTCTTCGTACCAATACCGTTACGATAACATCGAGCAACATTACCCATTGCTGATTTAGAATTCATATTAGCAGCTTTCTCATAGTATTCAAATGCTTTATTATAATCTTGACTAACTCCATTCCCATTTTCATAACAATAACCAACACTACACATTGCTTTGGCATTATCCAAATCAGCCGATCGTTTATAATATTCAAATGATTTCTGGTAATTTTTTTCTACTTTGATTCCATAATAATAACAACGACCAACATGTTGCATCGCAATCGGATTTCCTAACTCAGATGCTTTCATATAATATTTAAACGCCTTTTTCCCGTCTTTCTTAACACCAATTCCGTTTTCATATTTGAAACCAAGTTCATAAAGTTGTTCTGAATCCATATTTTTTAAACAAGTAAAAAAAATTCGTGCACTAAATAAGATACTACCTTTAATTGCCTGAAGTGTAGCGTTAGTGAAGAACATTTATGTTTAAATTTTGATTAACTTATTAGTTGATTTATATTGTTACGCTGAAAAATTTTCATATCTTGCCGCATGTGTATTTATACGTAGTTTAGTGCAATAAAACCATTAAGTAAAAATGTCTATGATTAGGAAATCAGAGTCCGGATGTTCTATAGAATAGGTGGGAAGTATAAAAAATAAACTTCGCCAATGATTAGTAATCATTAATAGATATTTAGTGGAGTTTGCGGAGTTTGACCACTTATTCTATAGAACATCCACGTACGTACGTACGTACGTATGGGGCTAGAGTTGCAGGTGAAACTGAAACTGGTGCACCTTTATAGCCAAATTGGTGAAACTGGTGAAACGGTGATATTGGTGAAACTAATGATGCCTGACGCAATTATTTTTGAAATGACGAAAGATTTCGTCTTGGTTTCGCCTGACGAAACCCTTGGCGATTGACGAAATTATGGCGCATGACGAAAATCTTGACGAAATTAAGTTCCTAATAAAATGCAAACATATAGTTGGCCCTCTTTTTGACAAACTTACTTATACCGACTTTTGGCGTTCTGAATTTTAAATTTTTCAAAAATATTGTTGTTCCTCATTATAAAGACTCATCGGTCCTGTATTCTAGGCAGACATTCGTATGATTGGCTGTTTAAATCAATTTAATTTTAATTAACACAATAGTTAGCACAATAGTTAACACAATATAACAACGCTCATAAAATTTAACACAATAGAACAACGCTCATAAAATTATCGTGAAACGACAACATGCCAAATTTGCCGTTTATCGTTATCTAATATTTACAACCTATTTTGAGCGAAAAAATGACCAAAAAAGTCAACTGAATGTTTTACGGATTTGAAAGCATTGTATATAGTCACTTGGTTATGGTTATCGTTATGGTTGTGGTTGTGGTTATGGTTATGGTTATACACTATAATAACTGAAAAGAAAAGGAAAGCTATTAAAATAGTGAATATATTAACAAATATTAAGAAAAATTGTTATTTCACTATAGATTTTAATTGCCGATTTCTAGATTTTTCAATTTTCAATAATTTTCACTCGGATTTTTTGCCGTCTAGATTATTTGATAATAGCAATGAAATCGGTGTAACTTTAACCATTAATTGGTTGTACAAAACGTGATCAAATGTTAAGACTAATATATCAATAAGCAAGTTATGATCAAGAATGTCGTCACAATTCAATTTTATTACTAATTGTTTTAATCACGATAGTACGAATTCAATAAAATACAGTAGTAACCTCATAGGCAGACATTCGTATGATTGGCTGTTTAAATCAATTTAATTTTACATTATTTATACAGTTTAAAGTATTTTTAAAAAAAAGAAAACTACTATGAATAAACAAAAAAGAAGTAAATAGAAGTTAGCATAATAACGACTTCTTAAAATTAGGCTATCACCGTGCTAAAGCATAAAAGAATTTTAATTATTTTTAATAGTGGAGTCCTACAACCCTAATAAAACTTTCTATATACTTCTTTTTTGTTTATTCTTCGTAGTTTTCTTTTTTTTAAAAAGTACTTTAAACTGTATAAATAATGTAAAATTAAATTGATTTAAACAGCCAATTATACAAATGTAGTAACCATATTCTGTATAACAATAACCAGTAACAGGATTTTTATAGTAACTTAGAAATCATGATAATTTCAATACAACCTAATTCAATACTACAATGTATTACTGAAATAGCAATGTAACAACTCTACCTTAACAACTGTGTTTACATTAGTAAGCAAGTTTAGCAGAATTTAACAATAACTCACAACAGATTTTAACTGTATACTGTAGCTTGCTAGAACAGCGAGTAAGTTTTGCAATAGAATTTTTTACAGTAATTCGTGATAATTCAATGCAAACCTAACTCAACCTTAAGCATATACTGTGATTACTGAAATAGCAAATGTTAAGTAACAGGATGCTTTACAGTAATAACTCAACCTTAATTGCATATTATATATACTGGGAAATCAAGTAGGTTTTGTTTTTAGACAGTAATACTAATACAAATTAACTTGACTTTAACTACATGCTATGATCTCTGGGATAGTGAGTAAGATTCATAACAATTTTTTACATCAATTCATAGTAGAAATCACAATAATCCCAATGTATACAGTTGCTATCAAAATAGTTAAGTTCTGTAATGCTTAATAGAAATCTAATACAGTACAAACTTAACTTTAACTAAGATTTGTTACAGTATTTTTTACAATAAAAATTACTTTCCAATACAAATCAACTCAATCTTAACTACACACTATGTATTGCTGGGTTTTGTTACAGTAACTCAGTAGAAATTTAGCAATTTAAATTCACTAAATCAAACCTTAACCACATACTGTATATGTATCACTGGAATGAGTAAATTTTTTACCAGAATTTTATGATAATTTACAATAGAGATCACAATAATTTTAATACAAGCTAACTGTCACTAAGTTACAGAACTACCATGTATTTGCAGGTCTTTACTACCAAACTTCACTCACTTGGCTAATTACATGACTGGTGTATCGTATTAGATACTACCACCACCAATACAATATCACTAAGATATGGTTTATTCACTAAGAACCAAGTTTATTGTTTTGATGTTTCTTTATTATTAAAGTCTCTTGTATTCTAAACTCTAATCTAAAACTTGTCAATTACTAAAGACCATTGTTCTATTTATATAACACAATGATCGATAATGCAATGCATAAGTTATACAAATCTGATCCTGATCCCATGTTACTAAACACGTGTCAACCAAATCTACTATGTCATGAGCTAGACCCACAGGACTTTGTCCCGAAGTCTTACCCTTATAAACCAAATTACCCAACACAAAATAACTAAGTTACTAACTTTTAATATATATAATTTATTATTCTATAATAACATTCAAATGTCTACATAATTTCAACCTCAAGTAACCTATTATTGATTATTATAATCATTTCTGACCCAATATCATTCGTACATTGATTCTCCCGAGTTTTCATATATCAAGACAACTTCCAAACACCACATTAATCAATCCATCATATTCAATTATATAATCTAAATACAATTGTTTGAGAAATTCAACTTTCTCATCACTATGCAATATAATATGATCCTGATCTGCCTTTTGATTCTTAATCATCATAAAACCATATCTTTTGATTAATCAACAGTTTGTATTACATAACTTCATAGAACCTATTCTATGATCATTCAACATCATTACACTATTTAATATTTGCTTTCCAATTCCATACTGATAATAATGTCTTATATTATTTGCTTTACCATCAGGATCTTTGTTAGCAGATCTTTGATAATTAATGAATGCTTTATATTTGTTCTTTTCTATATCAATTCCATTTTCATAACAACTACCACGATTACACATAGTGTTAGCATTACCCATATCAGCATATTTTTGATAATTAATGAACATCTTATGTTTATCCTTTTCATCACAAGTTCTCTCTTCATTACTACATTTAAGATTATTGATCTCATCAAAAATTCTCATTTCTTCAGATTTCTGATAATTAACAAGCGTCTCATGTTTATTCTTTTCAATTTCAATTTCATAATAATAACAATATCCAATTATAGATGCTTCATCAGCATCATTCGTATTTGCAGATTTTTGACAAGGAATGAATACTTTACATTTATCTGTTTCAATATCAATTCCCTTTTGTAACAATGATCAAGATTACATATTTCATTAATGTAACCTATATCCGCTAATCTTTGATAATGAATAAATACTTCGTTTTCTCCAATTTCGCAGTTCGTTTGATACATTCAATCAACATTGGTTTGACCAGTTTTATTGATGTTCATTCTACTAACAATTCTTTTATCATTTATTTCTCTTACTACTAATTGTCATTATATCCTTTTCTATTCTCATTTTCACTTTTATTATCAATGCCAACTCTTTTGCTTAATCATACATTTCGGGTATAAAAGATTTGACTTTATCACAACACTTTAGTTCAAATTTATACCAGAATCTCTTTTCATCCGTTGTGATTTTATCACTAATCATCCTCAACCGAGCATCATATCATTTAGTAAATTCTTTTACATTTTATTAATTTCATTGTTTAATTCCCAACACTCAAATCAACCAATCCATTCTATCTTCATCAACTCTTTGATTACAATCGAATGCACTATATTCATCAATATTCATATATTTATCACTCACAACACTATTTTTATCAGCTTCATTAGTATTATTGAACTTACAACCTTGGCCTTTCAGATCTTCATCACATATCATTTGAATATCAGGTGTATATTCTCTTTCAGATTCCTTTGTACCAATGTTCATCTTACTTATTACACCAACAATTCTATTCTTCTTCCTCACATTACTAACACCATTCTTCATTAATTCATTTTTAACACTCATAATACCAACTTTCACTGATTCTTTCACTTTCTATTTACCACCATTAACTTTTATACTACTTTACCAATTGCCACCATTCTTCTTATCTACAAATCTGAGGAACCTTATATCATCTACCAGATTTTTATCATTCACTCTTTTCTTTCATTGATCACAATTTCCCAGGGACAGACACGAACGGTCCAAGTGTCCTTTTAATATACATAACACAAACACAACATATGCCTTTTCTGTTTCACCTGAACAGTATTCAAGCTTTTCATTACTTCTTAAATTACTATCTTCACAATACTCTTTACCAACATCACCAGGTAATTTGTATTTCCATTCTCAATTCTAATTCCATTAAACTTCAACTTGTACTTGCCACCAAGGCTTGAATTTACCAATTGCAACAGTATAGCTTTTTTGAACTTGCACTTAGCAAGTATGATATTACTTCAAGAAGACCTTTGTCTTACCCAGGTTCTTGTGTCACTAAGTTATCTAAACTACTATGTATTTGCGGGTCTTTACTACCAAACTTCACTTGCTTGGCTAATTATGTGATGACTGGTGTATCATACCAGATACTACCACCACCAATACAATATCACTAAGATATAGTTTATTCACTAAGAACCAAGTTTATTGTTTTGATGTTTCTTTATTATTAAAGTCTCTTGTATTCTAAACTCTAATC